TGCACCGATTCTCAGGGGAGGGGGCGTAGGATTCGATGATTATTCTGTTTCCTCTGCTTCCAGGGAAACTTAACACAAGATGACATCTGTCAGTCTTGTTCTGCCTGCTGCCAGAATGCAGCAGCTCATCGTGCACCTAAAAATGACTAAAGGTTGATTATTTTATTTTGCAAATCTAGAAACACTTTTGCTGGTTTTAGTAATCATTTCTGAACTGAGTAATTCTTCGATATTATCAATAATAACTTTCAGGTTTACATTTTCTTAGTAACTCTGTTGTATCTACCTCTAGATAACTGCTGAGCTGAACTCTGTTAAAACAGCTGTCCTCGAAGTTTTCAACCCAAAGTTGCTGCGGATCTCATTGAGAATCAACTCAAGGTCTTTGCAGCTTTCCGCCCTCTATGTGGTGGTTCTGATTCACTGGTCCATATCATCCCAGAGGCTTTCCCAAAGACTGACCTAAAACTTGTATCAAGAAAAAAAAATAGAAGCTTTTTTTCTGCAGACAGAGCAACAAACAGCAGCTCAGAGCTCTGAGAAAACATTTATCCAGAAAACAGACATTGATGACACAGAATCTTGCTGATGGCTTAATCTGCTAATGCACACTTAATGAGCTAAAGACAACGCTGAAATATGAGGGACCTGTTGCTGCATTTCTCTTCCTTTTAATCAAGAAACACTTAAAGTGAAAAACAACCTCAGGATATGTGTCGTTTATTTCCTGATGCAAATACGTCTTTGAAGGCTTTCCACCTAACAGCAGCATTATTCCAATTGTCTCCTGATTTATTCTGAAACATGCCGATGACCCCGAACATGCAGTCGGAGCTATTTTCAGTTGAAAACAGAGAACAATGAACGCTGCAACAGATGGCACGTCCCCAAAGAGCCCCGATCTCAGCTTCACTGAGTCGGTGAGGGATTAGATGAAGAGGGAAGAGAGACAGTCCAACTAAATCTACAGGAAGGGAAACGTTCTCAGAGCTGCATGAAAGACTTCCCAGTCGAGCTTATGAAGGGGAGCAACGCTGTTTGATTTACTGTAGTTCACTTGATTCAACTATTTATAAAAAAAATCAGCTGTTCATGGGGATATTAGAACCAGTCATCAGCTGTTTAAATAGTTATCTTTTAAATATTTTTTTTTACTTTTTTGAATTTGTTTTTATTTAAACCAAGGATGTTTGATACTGACTTATTATTTTACCAATAACTGATATATTGATATAGTCTTATTTTTCCAATACCGATAAGAACCAATACATGCAGGGTCCCCTCTGATAATATCCATCCATCCATCCTCTTCCGCTTATCTGGGGTCGGTCGTGGGGGCAGCCACCTAAGCAGAGAGGCCCAGACTTCCCTCTCCCCAGCCACTTGGGTCAGCTCCTCTGGGGGAATCCTAAGGTGTTCCCTGGCCAGCCAAGAGACAGAGTCCCTCCAGCATGTCCTGGGCATTCCTTCTGGTCTTCTCCTGGTTGGACGTTCCCGGAAATCCTCACTAAGGAGGCGTTCAGGAGGCATCCTGACCAGATGCTTGAGCCACCTCAAATGGCTCCTCTCTATGTGGAGGAGTCGCGGATCTAATCTGAGCCCCTCCCGGATGACCGAGCTTCTCAGCCTATCTCTAATTTCAGTCGCTTGTATCTGCGATCTTGTTCTTTCGGCCACTACCCAAAGCGTGTCACCATATAGGTGAGGAAATATCTACGTAGGAATGTAGATCGACCGGTAAACAGAGGAGTTTTGCCTTCCGGCTCAGCTCTCTCTTCGCCTGCATCACTGCAGACGCAGCACCAATCTGCCTATCGATCTCACGCTCCATCTTTCCCTCACTCATGAACAAGACCCCGAGATACTTAAACTCCTCCAAATGAGGCAGGACCTCATCCCTGACCTGGAGAAGGCTTTCTATCATTTTCTGACTCAAGACCACGGTCTCGGACTTAGAAGAGCTGATTCTCATCCCAGCTGCTTCACACTCGACTGGAAGCCGCTACAGCAAAAGCTGGAGCTCATGGTCTGATGAAGCCAACAGAGAAACCTGATCATTAAGTCACCAAAACAGATCCCCTCAATATCTTGGCTATGCCTAGAAATCCTGTCCATATAAGTTACGAACAGAATCGAGGCAGCCTTGGCGCAATCCAACTCTCACTGCGAAAGAGCCCGACTGCTGCTGGCAATGAGGACCAAGCTGCCATCAGTCATACAGGGACGTAGCCCGTATCAGAGGGCTCGGTACCTCATACTCCCGGAGTTCCCCCCAAAGGGCCCCCCAAGAGACACAGTCTCAGGGGTAAGGGGAAGGTTAAGTAGCTAGAGGTTAGAGGTTAAATGTCGATGAAATGTGCGTTTTACTGCTGGTGTCTGAAACCGATGCTCTGGCACAGCGCGTCGCCTCCCGATACATTGGGAGTCCCAACCCAACGCGTCGGAAACAAACCCTTGCTTGCTCACACAGTATCCATTTTTCTTTGGGTGTGAGAACGTGTTGCTATTTACCATTCTGCTAGAGAAAGAAAGCATTTTAACTCATGTGTTATTCACACCTACTGTGAGTCTAAATATGCTTAATTTCTGATTAAATGTTCTGATATGGAGTCAGAATGACTCAATAATAAAATGATATTTCTGTCGTTAATGGAAAAAATCTTTTTGTTTCATATTTTTCTATTATCTAAACAAAATTTCTTTCCCTTTGGTAATAAAAAAAAAGCATTTTTGGAAGAGCCCTCATCAAAAAGTCAAATGCTAGACATCAGTTTTGTATCGGTCCATCAAGAGGACTGGGAATCACCTGGCATTGTATTAAATATGAAATAAATCTATACATTTCACAGATTTATATTTGTATTCTTTGTGTTGGAGCTGACAAGTTTCCTCTGAACTTCTCAGAAAACTTGAGGCTCCCTGCAGTGCACTTCTTCTCTCCTATCAGTCACCATTTAGCCCAGCAGGAGAGCAGAATCCCATGAATAAAATCATGTTTTTTTTTCTCATGGAGGAAAAGTTAGAAGAATGACAACAAACACATAAAGCAGCATAATGTAGGCCTACATGAAAATATATAACACGCTGGATTTAATATCTTTCAGGACGGGAGGTCGGGTGAGTCAAAGGCAACTCACCCTGAAGGTGTTTAAAACGGGTCGTTAAAAATCCTGCATGTTTTAATCGTTTTTTATCGGAATCAATTCTTCAAAGTTTGAAAGATTTTTCTTTAGATTTAATCATAATAGCTTATGATCTATTATAATAACAAGATGGCAAGGATGGGGGTAATTATTGCATTTCAAACAGTAATAATGAGGAAATATTTTATAACTAACAAAGTAATATTCAGTTAATTACTTGATTACGACATACATCAGGGTCATACTTGGATTTAAATAATGCAACCAGGATAAATCAAGTGCAGCTGACAATACACTCTAAAAATGAAATGCTCATTTAACTTAACCAAGTTACGTCAACTGGCTATAGGGTTAGCATTACCCTTTACATTTAAGCACCTAGGATTAGTGGAACCAGTTGACACAACTTGTTAATTCAACATATTATTTCTTAGAGTGTCGGGCACCAACTCTTCACAGAGACAGTAAATTTACCCAGAAGAGAAGGCAAGCTCAAAGAAACCCTTAATGAATAACTGTGAGCATTGTGTTGAAAAACACAAATGAAGTAAAATCGTGTCAGAACATTGCATAGAACACAATTCAGTCACTTTTTTCAAAAGAATTCATAACAACTGTTTGTTTTCTTATTCTTTCCTTATCACTCGCTGGTTTAAGCTTATTGGTCATGTGTTGCGGTAACATTAGACTAATGATACTGGTGCATCCCTTCGTGGGAAGGCAAACTCTTTGATCTGTGTAGACGAAATGCCTCCCTACACGGTGGTCCCCTACACATAAATCAGTTCTATTTATTTCTATTAGGGACACAACGATAGCACTTTTTTCCAAACCGATACGATACTGATACATGGTTCTGAGTACTCGCCGATACCGATTACCTATACCGATACTTCTACTACACAAAAAAATGTAATGGATTGGAATACAGGTTTTATTTTCTTCTCTGCTTTCAACAGGAAAAGATTGTGAGTAGATAAAAGTAAAATATATAAATAGAAATCATCACAAAACTAAAATATTAGGTGAACAGAAATGACAAGTTACAGTGAAGCCACATTCAAGCAGCTGCATTGGTATTGGTTAACTTTTACCGATGCCGGTACTGGTATTGGTATCGGTGCATCCCTCATTTCTATGTACATGTGGTATACGCTGTAAGTCTGAAGTAAAATGTCATTATAACAAGTATGAATGTGAGACTTGGTATGGTTGATATTTCATGGTAAAGGACTCAGAATATTTCTAAAGCCCCTCCATATCACTGCCTATTAATTACCTAAGTTTTATTTGGTAATCAGTTATTAAATACCTCAGTTTTGCATATTTATTTATTTATTTATTTATTTATTATCCTTTTATTATTGTCTTACCACACAGCTGTAATATAAAATGCTAATAAAATAAAAATGATTCAAATCACAGATATTTTAAACTCAGTGGAATGTAAAAATTATGTTGCTGTTCCTTCTGTGACTCAGAATACACATGTTTTTTTCCCTCTATAAACCATTAGTTTGTCAGCAACAAGGTGTTTACTGTTGCTTGAGAGAGGGACTCAAAAGTGTCACGCGTTCTTATTTTAAAGTTGAAAGCACGACACTTTCCAGTTTGTAATTAAAAGCCAACACTGGTCAAGGCAACAACAGCGGGAACTGTCAGAGTGGAAATTGAATCTTTTAAGTGCTTCATTAAAGCGAGAGCTCACATTCTGTGCTTTTTCAGTGTATCATCCATGTCCATTAATTCAATTTGGCCACATTACAGAGCGACGTGCAGTCATTAATACAGCAACTCATCCTGGCCCAAAAGGGGGAGGAACTGAAATGAAAATAACTAGAATGATGCTTGACTTACCGATGTACTGGTTCCATTCTGGATCCAGATCAGCTTGATTGGCAAGGCAGCCCTTCATCACATTAAGGCAGTAATTCTTACAGGGTTTTACTCCTATTGAGCCCTGACAATAAGGGCAGTAAAGCATCTTTGTCAACGCTTTTATACAAGCTGGAGTGCTGCTGACCTGCAAAACACAGAGAAAATATTGTCATTAGAGTCTAAACAGCATAGAGGTAAGATCAGAAGTATGATCATTTACAGGTTTATTAAATCCTTTGTGTTCTATGGAATATTACCAAGATCAAATTTTAGCATTTTATTTTAAAAAAATTCTGTGTAAACGGAAAAGTTGCCATAAAAACCAAGGGCGTCAGTTTGTTTTCAGAATTGCTGGGGACAATAACCATACACTTGAGTGGGGTTTAAAAATTGCTGGGGACAATAGAGTAGGTGTCGGCGACTCTGTAGCCGCATGCGGCTCTTCCATCCATCTGATGCGCTCTCTGTGCTTGTAAAATAATGAATGGATATTTAAATAAAAAGCTTTATATTTTACTGCATTAATTTTACATCTCTATGCCAATTCTAAATGTAAAGATTGTCTGCGTAAACCTGAACAGGTCCAACCCGGTCTTACTGTGAGACTGGGTTGACGGGTCACGCTTGTGCGTAATCATATGCGCTTTCTGAGCTGAAGGATGTCTGATTCTGGGCTTCTCCTCAGACAGGTTCCTGGATGCGTCGCCACATTGGAGACAGGAACAAGCACTATTCAGCCAAAGTTTCATAATCAGGTGTGGTAGTGTGAGTGTCCTGTCACAGTGTCCCGATAGATAATGCGCCCTGGCTACTTGGCCAACGGAATGTCCCTTTGGCTGACTGGTTAGAGCGTATGACTCTCACCTGGGAGTCTGGGGATCGAATCCCGCCCGGGCCCTCATTTCTCCACCTTGCCACATATTGACGGATAAACTCAAGGATGTTGGTTGTTTTGAAAGAATTACCCCGACGCACACTGATGCGCATGGATGAGCTGACATTTTAATCATTAGGCACATCGCAGAGGTAACTTGATTCCCATCAGAACATCAGAGCTTTATACTGGACACTGTGTTCAGTGCGGCTCGGAGCGCCCACGGTGGACAGTGGGCTGAAGATCTGTAGAGGGATTCGCAGCGCAGAACCACAGTGCATGCGATACGATTTCCTCCCACTGAAGCGTTCTGGAAACCCGGTCTCCCTGAGGGATGTGTCACCTGGAAAAATGTTCTTTTTATGAAATTATGAAACTTTGGCTGAACAGCGCTTGTTCCCGTCTCTAATATGGAGACGCATGACGCATCCAGTCTGAGGCAGAATAGCCTCTTCAGCTCAGAAAGCACCTGTAGAGACATTTGATCACGCACAAAGTTTATGTGGAGCAGAAGCGGTCGGGCCACGGCAGGTGGAATGTTCCTAGCCTACATGAAGTGTAACTGTTTAATTGTAACATTAATGTTACTGGACACACTGGTCTGGTTGGTTAGACCAGTGTTTGAAGTGGAAAACACACACACACACACAAACCAATTAAAATAATGCTGATAGCGTGGACTAGAAGACAGGTGATGGGTTACGTATTTAAATGATGATCAGGCTGATGTAAAATGTAATCTCCATCCACATCCAGACAGAATTATCCTCTATTCTTTCTCTAGTTGCTCTGCTCTTGTCTGGGCTGACAGCTGACGGTGCACGCGACGCGCCTAACTAGCGGCTGATGCACATTTTACGCATTTGGAGAGGTGGGCTGGAAGCTTTGTTTTTACTGGAAGATGGTCCACTTAACGCACGGGTGTAGACTACATATTAATGACAAATGAATGAAAATTTAATTGTGAGTTTTTACTTCATATTTTAGAAATAAAAATGATGGTGGAACACATTTATGACGTCTTTTTAAACTAAATTTTCTAGCGCGTCCTGCCTGCTTCACTGAAGTCGCTGCTTATTAAGGCCCATCCAGAATTACCGTGGCCCACCCAAAAATGAAAACCGCGCCTGTTGTAAACCTCTGCAAATTGTTGTTCTTCACTTTATCAAACTCAGACTTTGTACAGCTAATGTCAAGATGTAAAATTATGAATTCAGTCGAGCTCTTCCGTCCCTCCCTCTCCTGCTCTCCTTGAAACCCGACATCGGCTGTCAGAAGCGGGAGGTGAAGAAGGAGATGAGGCAAACAGAGTGAGTGCGACATAGAGAAACCAGACAGGTGTGGAGGTGAGCAAAACAGCTGGAAAAGTGTGGGTGTTGAATCCCCCACGGGTGCGACGCCCATGCGAGCGACCGGTACCGGCTGCTGTCACCTGGTTGTGAGCAGCGCTCTGCTGTCTGAGGGTAGGCCCCGCCCACAATGCTGCGGCCGCTGTGGCTCCCAGCGTTTTCTTTACTGTGGGAAATGGGTAATAATGACTCTTTGATGGGAACAGGTTGCCGACCCCTGGTATAAGATCTGAGCTGGTAAAACAAAAATCCTCATCAGCAGGCTTCTTTGAAAGTGGGGGGGGGGGGGGGACACAGCTGCCAATCACAAATTTTGCCGGGGACATGTCCCCGGCGTCCCCGGTTAAAATGACGCCTATGATAAAAACTCATTTGAAAACAATAAAAACAGAAACAAGAGAGTGGGAAAAAATGTGACCTTTGAAAAACTAAATCATATTTTTTAAACAAAATTTTAAAAGTAAAAATATCCAGACTTTTTACAAGTAATTATAGAAGCCTGAGCTTTTAAAGATGCAATATGTGATAATAAAGTAAGAATGACATCATGTGGTCAAATTTGGTTACTGCAGTCCATTTTTAAAAACAAAAAGTAATTTCCCACAAGTTTTATGACTGTTGCCAACTCAGCGCAAGACAATTCTAGATACCAAGTGAAGACGAGTCATACACTGTCATTTGATAAGTGAAGAAATATGTTGCCAATCTGATATTAGCAAATTTGATGTTTTATGGTAGGGAGCACTTACTACACTTAATATGGTAATATGCCTCCAGCATTAGAGGAAGTGTGGTTGTTCGCCGTCTTGCTGTCAGCTTGCTGCTTGTTATCGTTCTGAACGAGTCATTAAAGGAAGTAACATGCCACAAATGACACATTATTCACCTGACACATTTCACTGTAATATCCAGTGTACATGTCCCTCCCACTTATTCAAATTTTGTCTCCTGCGCTTTTTACAGTCCAAAATCAATATTACACTATATTAAATAGTTTGGTTGAGCACTAGGAACAAGTGGAAAACAACTTCTTGTGTTAAAGCCAATTTCCCATTAGCCATTAACCATCCATAAGCTCATTTATTGGCTCTGCTGATACTTGCTAATGTGTGATTGGCCATTCCAGCCACCTGTGTACATGACAGTTCTGCATTCCTGATATTGCATAAAGAGCTTCTAGACTGTAGGAATGGCGCCAGAAGAAGAGCTGCACAATGAAAGATGAGGCTATGTCCAAATTCAGGGGTAGCATCCTTGTAGTAAAAACAACAACACTTAAAAAGCTAAAATAAAAATTAGGTACAAAAACGGGAATGAAAATGAACCCAGTCAACCGTTTGGTTGAACATATTTTAGTCCATAAATCTTAAAGCAATGTGCACATTAGGAAACTGAAAATTATGCCATGATTTTACATGAATATTAATATTGTTTCTTTTTTATTTGTAATATTCTTTAAGTCTTACTTCCGCTAAATGATTTAAAAGCTCCAAACAATAAATCATTTTCATAGCTGTTTATTTTTTGCTGTGGACAAAAAAAAAGTTAAAACAAACAAACAAAAAAGTACATGGAGATCTACGTGACTTAGCTTGTTTTTATTATAATATACATAATTTGAAATGTGAACTTGAAAGGATGCAGCCCCTTAATTTGGACAGTGTCTGCAGGAAACCCATTTTTACACACAAATGTGCACACTTTTGCAACGTTTATTCTTAAGTGGATATTTGAAGAAATAAACCTGCTTGCAGATATTTAATTCTAATAGCTAAATCAATCCTATTGTGTTGGTGCAAACATCCAATGTTGGCACACAAGTTACACATTCATATCACAAATTTTAATTCTGCTTTTAAAAAGATGAATTGAAGTGGTTTGTTTTGCTGCCTGAAGAACATTTCCACTGACAGAAGGTCAAATGGATTCTATTCCAGCATGCTAATTTTGCAGCATTTGTAACAACTCTTGAAAATGTATTTAACAACAGGATAATGATCCTGAACACACCTCAGAATCACAATGGGTCTCCCTCATGAGGCACAAGCTGAATGTTTCGTCACGACCCTCACCGTCCCTGACCTTAACATGATTTAAAATCTGTGGACGGCCTTCAGATACATGCAGTAGTTAAGTATGCAACAGAAGCAAAATCCAGTTTGCCAATGAAAAGAGTAAAAAATCTTGCAGAAATCAGACTTTAATTTGACCAAAAAAGGTCCTAAAAGCTATTTATAATCTTCCTAAGAAGTGATTTGCTGAGTTCTTACCAATCATGTGTAATAAATACAGGCACCGTACTTCTCCAATAGCCAGTTTAGGTCTTGAAACGTTGTTTTCTAGCCTAGTTAACTAGACCAGATCCTTGCTTTGCAAAGTTTGGTCTAGGAACGCTCCTTTGGAACCTCCGCAGCCCCAAGCAGAATTCTGGCTGGCCAATTACAGCATAGATATGTATATAAACTAGGGCTGGGGGTAAACGATTATTTTTAAAACGATTATTCTGACGATTATTTTATCGAATAGTCGACTATTCTAATGACTATTTAGAAAATTAATCTAATGATTATTTTTCTATTGCACAATTAACAAAAACCAGAAAATCTCAAATAAATTCCTCAAAAAAATTGATAAATTCTTACTGTAAGAGAATAAACACTACAGGCCTTCCATTTTGTATAACACTGCTTTTATTGTGTTGCGGTTGGTTATGTTCTGGTGACGTGTAGAACTTGGGAGTGCAGGCTGCTGCCTGAGAGGTGGTAGAAGATGGAGTGTCTCCATGCTGCTTTGTTTTGGTCACTTATGTGCGTGAGGCGAGTGGTGTTACGGGTTAAACCAAACTCAGGTGATATTTTACACTAAACCGAAAACCCACAACACTCTAAATGTAATAAAAGGGAGATCTACACCACAAAAAAG